AAAGCCGAAATTTGCTCCTCCATTTCGAGAACTTCGCAAAGAAATTCTGTCCCCAAAAAGTGCAATTGAATACTTTGAAAAGGAGAGAAATCAGAAAAGGCCAGGTAAAAATCGACTACTTTGGTGGTGAGAAATGTGAACAAAATCAGGATCAGAAATTTGACGAAAGCAATTTTTGATGGGTCAACAAATTTACTGATAATCCCACAATTCCACGATCAGATTTTCTTGAAAGAAAATGTCTTTTCTTCCATTTAAGACTTTCAGATCTAACTTGAATTAACTTTTCTTTTTCATCAAAACTTCCATTCTGAGTCTTAAACTCACATGCAATTTTCTAAATACTTTCAGGATTTCCACATTTTCTTTTAGCAATCCGCTGCACCGCCTTATCTCAGACTTGTTAAAAGCTTGCTTAACGAATTCCGGAGTCCCTATCAGTTTTACTCCTAAGACATTTTAGCTTTTGATGATTTCTCAAAACAGAGCCCTGAATTTACAGTTTTTTAGATATAACTTTACGTTATTTCAAAAGTTTTTGACAAGAAATCAAAGTGGGCCTCAGGTAAAAAAAGGAATTTCTTACAAGCTGAAGTGACAAAGTGACTTTTTAGTGTTTCAAACCTTTAGAAAAGTTTTTGCTGGACCAATAATGAGCAGTAGTTACCATTCAAAACCAAGTATCAAGTACTTAAAAGCGGAGAAGAAGTGTGATTGAGGCAAATTTTATCTAATGCCACAACTTTTCAGAATCACCTATTTTAGCGAAACTTACTCTGGTGCCAAAGAAGATGACACGAGTGGCACTGATGTCCCCCCATACGACTACCCCGTAAGAAGATTTTGGCCAAGATAGGGGTATGAGCGTATTAACTAGTTTTAGGTAGCTTGACTACTTACAAGGGAATCAGATTTTTCTCGTGTAAAAAGTGAGGCTGAATTCAAGCTGGAAGAAATAATCATTTTTCAAAAATCTCGAAAATTACAAGAGAAAACTGAGAACTCATTTTTTTACAAACTCATTTCTTGGAATGAACTTTGCAAATGATAAGAGAAAAAAGTGTTATTCAATTGGTGGATTCAGTTTTTTAAGAAAATTGATGGAGGGGAGGTCCCCTAGATAAGAAAAATAAAGATTAGAAATTGTTAAAAACTCTTTTTAACTTATTCCCATTGGGAGAAAATGTACGAAGAAAAAGGTGTTCAAAAGTAAAAGAATCCCATTTTCCCACGCAGGACTTTCCATGGCGATCTTCCAAGAGAAAATCCACGTGGTCCCCCACATGAAATTATTTATTAAGAATATTTTTAATCCTTTACAAAAATCACATACCTCAAGGGAGGAGACATAAAAATCCACGAGTAGTACTTTTCATTGCAACTCCCTTTTCTGGTATTACAACGATGAGCAGAGGAGTGGAATTTGGCGCTCAATCACATCATAATCGAGATGAATCCGACTAAATGGATCGCTGAAATGATAGCGATAATATTGCCAACACCAACTTTGCTTTGCTTTCTTAAACTGTACTACACACAAAGATTGTCGCTGTAGTAAAGGCCAACTTCTCCACGTTTTTTCATAAGGAATTGCCTTTTCCATTTGCCCGGCCAATGAGATGATGAATGAATAACGCTCCGTTCAGGGATTTCTCAAAGTAGGGGACGATTTGAAGAAACTTCGACAGGGTCATCGTCATGAACAGATTGATTCGAGGATTTCTAAATTTAGGAGAAGTATTTACAATCTCGATTGATGAATGACCCCCCCCATGGTGTTAGCAACTGTTGTAAATTTAAAAATATCACTACCATGTATTTAGTGCCAGGATGGCAATTCTCTGCGCACTGATATTGCTTGTACAGGATTGTCTGTTTTGTGCCCTTATCAGAAAAACTATACCGTAATTGCATAACGGCTTCCACCAGTGCCGAGCAGAGTTCCGATCAATTCGTGCAGAAGGTCCGGAGAACGGCAGGAGTTTCGCATAGACGAGCGCCAATCTAATCATAAATTAATCCCATTTTGTCAACAGCGTATCGAGCCTTGTGCTTTTAGCAAAATGCTCCGATAGAAGCGATGAGTTCAGCCGGTGGGGCACGATAACCACTATCACTAGAAATTTGGATATGTACTTACGTAATGATCGATCAAGCCTCATCAGATTGACAAAACAGATTTTTCGTTCAGTTAAAGCTTTCTTCCAGTGAAAGGTTTGCATTGTGAGAATCTGGCCTAAACAAATGAATTAGAAGCATTTAATGAGCATCCTTTTGGATAGCTGAATAGCCTCAACTTTGTGGGGAACTTCAAAAATAATCTCTTGACCTTTTCGATCTCAGGACCCACCTGCTGTTGTTCTTTCATCAACCAATTTTCATTTTCTTTGATGTCTTTGCTTTTGCAAGTGTGGCCAGTAAAACCACACATTTTACAAGAATCAGGTCAATTAAAAATTATCCTCAATGTTGACACAGGGAAAGAATAAGCTCCAAAGTGTTTTTTTAAACACCTGAAAAAAAAGAAATTTCTAATTAAAGTTTGAGTCCACTGCTTGGGTTTTGGAACCAATTGTCCATTTGCGATGCTGCCCGCAAGTACAGATTTCACCCAAGTCCTGAGAAAAAAATTAAGCTAACAATAAACTGTGCCTTGAAATTATACTGACAAAAGGGGCAGGTGCGCAGAAGTTTCGGCGAGATCAGTCTGTTGTTCAAGCGATTATCCCTGTAAAAACTAAAGCGCACGTCTAACGAAAAGAAACTTCAGCTGAAAATTACCATTGAGTGCATCCATAACAATGTTAATCCTCTCAAGGGATGGCAGTGTTTCAGCTATTTTCAGCACATTACTCATTTCGGTTCTAAATATTTAAAATTGATTACTAACCCATAATGCAAAAGGTGTTTGATTTTTCAACATTCAGCTAATTGCACTAGCACTTTATAATCAAGTTTGCATTCTGAAAAATTCAGTATCAGGCGTATTCTGACGCTAGTTTGGTTGCTTGTATAAGATCATTAGATACTTGAGATTGGGGATCCATTGAAAAAATTGAGCATGAATAAAGGCGGCATGGATCCATTTTTGGCCAAATCAGTTCTTTTTTATAATGCTATTACAATTTTTCTTTTCTAAATAAAACTCTAAAAGAACGTTTTCAGGTACTCTTACTCCTTTCGTCCGCGTCTCTTCTGCTCTTTTTCATAGTTTCCTCTTCCGTCATCCCTTCTGTATTGGACGGAAATTTGTCAGCGCGGCCTCCCTAAAAATTTCACTGTAAAAGCAAATTTTTGTGCACTGAGGAGATTAGGAGTCCATGCCGGCGGTGTGAAATTTCCCCGGCGGTCATTTTTTATGCAGCACTGAATCAAACGATGGAAACTTCATCCTGAGATCGTTTCAAAATCAACGAGACGGAGTTGTTCACTGTGCGGCTTCACACGCATGTTGTATCTGAAGATTCTCAAAAAAAAGTACAAGCTCAAACCTTGTCAATCCAAATGCACGTTCTCCCAAACAATCGGCAAAAAATGCTTTGCGGGAAAAATGGATGTAATTGGGGTTGACTCCTAATATTAAACAGTAAAAACAATGGTTTTATTTATTTGAAAGGAAATGGTTCACTCGTTTCGTGGTTTCTTCGTCAAAGGAATGGCGTTGTGAGCAGAGACCTGTAATTTAAAAACCCCCAGCTGAAAACACTTTCAGGATTGTACCAATGCTTGTTAATTATTTACGATCTATTACTTGGCTTTTAAAGCTAATTTACTCAGAGGGTTTCCACAATGTTTGACACACGTCCCATCAAACCAGTCTACCGTGACCATTGAAATCCGTCGTTCCCTGATTCCATTGCATTGATCGATGGATGAAGTCTCTCATCACTTCCACATCTTCGGGCCTCAGTAGCCAACTGGAAGCATGATTGCTTTTAAGCTTTCTCAGGGCTCATCCTGAAATCAAACAATTACGATACTTATTTTGAAGGTCAGTTTGAGACACAGTAAACTTGTTAGCGAGATTTATATTGAGGAAGCCAACACTAGTTTTTGCTTTCAAAATACACGATTCAACAATTGCCTTTTAGTGGCCCCGCAAAACACCCCAGACACTTGTTCAAGTTTCAAGTAAAGAGAAAACCGTATGCTTACCTTTACATTGTCCTTATTTTCGTAGCATCTACTCATCCAAAACTGTAAAGTTTGTTATCCTTGAAGATTAATGGTCCAGTTGAAATCTAAATTTGAAAAATATAAAAAAAATAGAAAAATTTCTAGAAAAAAGTGGTTGCGCGCTCATTCCACCATAAGTGAAAATAACTCCATTATGATCAAGTGCAATTTATTACCTCACATTAACTAAATCTTTCCAAGTATCGTTTATTCCAATCGGTTGTGGAGTCTTTTCTCATCGTTGATCGAATGCGTTGACGTGGTTTGGGCAGTTAAACTAAAAAGTACATTAGATAGATACGGAAATTAGTTAAATCTCCTTGTTTAATTTCCTATGACTGTCCAATAAGCACTTACACATCAGCGTCATCGCGATTTTTGAATTTGAAGCCAGAATTCTCGAACATCCATTGATCGTACACCAAAGGCACAGTTGATCCATAGTAGAGCCCATTGAGAAAAAACGTTAGTCACTTTAAAAGAACCTAGACTTGGACGAAAATTGAACCCCTTACCACAATTTATACCAGATTGTGCTGTTTCCAATAACACAGCCGACGAGATTTCGAAGATCGAATAGACCATTTCTAAGAATAAAATACGTATAATATTCAATGATATGACTGACCTGACGACCAAAAAAAAGAGCGTTGACATGAAGATCAACCAGGCAGTTGAACAACGAAAGTCAAGCTAAAAAATAAGTTTTACAAGTAATTGAATACTCTCCTTAACCTCGTCCTCCCACGAATCATCTAAAGCGTGACAATTTTCTCCGAGTCATCGATTTGCAACTCTCAACAAGCCCTACGTGGCAAACATAAACTTTGAGGGCGAAAATGCAAAGCTACTTAGTCCGTGCAAATATAATGGCACAACTGCACCGCGCTTTGTAGCACCTGTCCTAAGTTCAATTCGTTTCGCAGCTCATAGAGCATAGGTTGCCCCATTCAAAAGTGGATCACATTTCTGTTTACATAATGGTTTGCTTCAAATACAATTTACAACCCTCTAATGAAATGATAGCTCCACCTTTTTGTTTGTTGTCGTGACCCATTGAAGCAGACATCGGTTGTGAACGCAGGCGATCGATCCCTTGCAGTTGCACAGCCGAATCAGCTTCGTGGTGACGTCCTCATTTTGCGCACGGATCCGGCACGCAGGGCTTGTCGAGAGTTGCGAATCGGTGACTAGAAGAAAATAGGTTGATAAGGACGAGAAACGTTACGGTACAGTCAAAACAGTGCTCTGTAAATCAATATTGTACAAAAATAGTCTTTGACATTCCTCCTGCCACCTTTTAGAAGCCAAAACCACCTTCTCTACCACCACTTTTATTCAGCATGGCGAACTCAATCCGATTCCTTTATTTTGCAACTTTTCATGGCTAACCCAACAAATTTTGTAACACTGAGGTTTTTAATGGTGCAAAACACCACTCCCAACCTTGAAACGTTCTAAAGCTATCACCATTCAATTCGCTCGGAAACAACACTTGCTAAAAGTAGCACAAACCTGCTTGAGATCGAGATAGTACCGTTTAAAGTTCAAAAATCCTTACCCTGGTTGAAAACGTTTTGCAGCATTGATATTAGAAGGCGGTGAAGTGGGTAGACCAGTCATTCGAAAGAAATAAAAAATGAATGAGAAATGACGTTGATTCAAGGGATTTATAGCACTGTGAAGTCAAAAAGATATTCAGTTGAAACCTGAATATTTCGGCTAACAAATGATAGAATATCACGAAATCATTTCCTCGTTTCAGCTTCTCCATTTTCTCTTTCTCTTTTGAACTTGCTTGATATTGCAACAAAATCAACCGACAAAAGTATCTGGATCTGGAGCCAGACTTCAAATTGGCTTCTGACTGGGCTCGGCCTGATTTATAAGCCTTATAGTTAGTTAGATCTGGTTACAACTATTTTGCCCGGCAAGCAAATTATCCATAAAAGCCTGTTAGTCTGTTTCCAGACCTGGTAATCTGTACGTGCAAGTAGCAATGGTTCTTTTAAACTGTGAAATCCTGCTCAATTTTGAGAGACTCGAAGCCGGGTGATGAATTGCTGTGGTTTTTCTGGGGAAATTGATGAGGGCAGATATTTTAAATTTCTAAATCTACATCTACGTTTTGGCTCTATCATTGTTACAAGCGTTGCGAGTAAATTGTGAGGCCTCTTAAGGCAATCTTCTGTTGTATTTTAGAAGAAACTTTATCTCGATTTGGACATCACCAATCAAAAACTTTTCTACTATGCAATAGCGGCTGTATGGAGAGGCAAACATATTGTGGCGGCCAAGAATGTTTTTTTCAAGGAGCTCTCCAATGTGATGAAAATCTCAACTGCTTCGTGTGATTTTTGAGAAGCGAATCTATTTCAAGTATTGTCTAAATGGATCTGAATTAGTAGAATTTTAGAAATTCTTTACTAAGGAGAAGCAACAAGACACAAAATAATAAAATTAAAAATGAAATTAAAATAATAAAAATCAAAAGTCGAAGCTTTTTGTAATGTTTTTAATTGTTAAAGAAAACGATTGTCCAATCAACGAATGATGCATAATTTTATTCCACAGCTTCGTGAAAAGATTCATCGATAAGGTGGACATTGTTTGAGAAGTCCCTTTGTGTCACAAGTTCCGTTGTAGGCATTCTGAAATTTGAGGGCTTGAACCATCAGATTTACTTCTTGATCAGAAGTGTCCTAAAAGATGGTCTAAAACTGGTGTCTTAGTGGATTACCTAATATCAGCTCAAGAGTTCTACCTTGAGGTAATCTTACAAAAGACAAGGATTACGATATCTTTAGACAAAACTAAACAAAATGAGAATAAAAAAGCAGTTTTATAGCGGTAAGCATTCAAAGATACAGGATTATGTTAGGGTTTTTGTTAAGGATCTTTTAGAAAAATTGTAAGCGAAGAGAACCCAATCTCTACCCACCACAGCCACTCGATCCGTATTGCAAAAGAAAACACGAGCATTGAAATCATTGCATCCCTTTTGATAGTAAGGAGCTCGACAACCAATGTAAGTGTTAAAAGTACTGAATTTCCGAAAACTTTTGATCTTTTAGAAATCAACTCACGGAGAAACATCTCCTCCAATAAGCATATCATTGAACAAATCCGTTGAGCATTTCTGAACTCATTTCTTCAAATTTAATAACTTCTCAAACCCTCAAATCGTTCAAATTTTTGTCGTGAGCATCATTGATACAAGAGACATCTTTTTCCCAAACTGAAATTTAGAAAACTTTACAATTTTCAATTAGTTTACTTGCATATCCTTTTGTGTCGGTGTATTTACTTCATTTGCCCTTTTTGAGTCTGAAATACAATTCTGTACATTTTAGTTATCATAAGTTAATGAAAAAAATAATGCGCTTTTGTGAATTCAAAGTAAAACTTACACGGCGTCGAACAGAGTGCACAATTGAGCAATTTGAAAGTCAAAACGTCACGCTTGCGTAGGTCGATGATCGCATCTCGGTACACTGACTGCTTGGCCATTCTAAAGAGAGACATTTTTTGAGAAAAAATAGTAAGTAAACAGTTAAATAAACAAAATAAACGGAAAGAAAGACAAAAACAATATATAGGATGTAAAGCAAAAAATATGCAATATCAAAGATATCCCTAGTCTTCGTAATCCTGGACAACCCTTTACAGCTAAAACAACCAAAAAATGGATGAAGAGGTTGAAAATTAGTAAAATAGGAGATATTAAGCTTTTTAAAAGAAAAAGACTTTTTATTGAGTAGCAGGACAGAAATTGCTGGGAAATATAAGAAAGCGTGAGTTGAAGGAATGTTTGCGAGCCCGGGAATGAGGCCGGGGTTTCGATTGATTGCGTCTTTCCGCAGCTTCTCCGGGAAACGATGTGGGTTGCCCAGATTGACCCAATAATGGAAGGGACATCAACATTGTTTTTGCAGTCTGTGGCATTGTTATTGGCACTGGCACGTTAGGTGGTACATTGACTGGCGATGCTTGGTGGTGTAGTTGGCATCCGATGACTGGGCCCGAGTCATTTTCACTGATGAGACTAGAATTAATTTATACTACCCGGACGGTAACCATTTAATCAGAAGACCAATTGGACAACGTTATAAGCTCAAAGACGTTAAGCCAACGGTCAAATTCGGTGGTGGGAGTATTATGTTGTGGGGTAAGTGTTCGCCCTATTTTTTACTTACGATTTGTCTTTTTTAGGCTCGATGAATCGAAGTGTATCGGGACCGCTAGTGTTTATCAATGGAAATCTCGACGCTCAAAGGTACAAGTCAATCATAGAGAACATCTTACTTCCATTTGCAAACACGAACATGCCACAAGGATGGGCCTTATATCAAGACAACGCTCCATGCCACAAAAGTCAGCTAATGATCGGCCGAGTTGTCCGGCTTGCAAATGGAGGAAGAGCTCGCCTACCCGGCGTTTTTGCTGCTTATCGTGTAGAATTGATCAAAGTGCCTCCTTATTCGCCGTATTTGAATGTTATAGAGCATCTTTGGGCCCATTTAAAGACTAAACTCAGGGGCAAGATATTCAACACAAAGGTCGAGCTTTGGTTCTTTATCAGAAACGTTTGGCGACAAATTTCTTCGGGAATTCTACGTGATTTGGTAGATTCAATATATGAAAGCTTACAACTTAGGGTCCAGAAAAACCCCTTCACTTTAAAAGTTGTTTTCAAAAATTTTTCAGAAAAGTAAGTGGGACAAGAATTTTGCACCACAGTGTATAACAGAAATCTGATAAAATTGATATATTTCAACTAGTGAATTACTATGTATTTGGATCTATTTCAAACATTCACTTGTTAACTTTGCAGATCTCATTATGAGTTTCAATATAAGTACCAAAATCTCCCTCACATTTGAATTTCCCGTTCCATTCAAGAATAGTGCTAGAGAATTCTGGAATAGTGATCAGTGTTGATCAGTTCTAGACTGATCATCGGCCATTTCCAAGTTTGATCAGTTTGAGCAAGATTTCTTTGCTGTTTTGTCGCCTGTTTGTACCAAAAACTACCATTCCTGCGTCTGCGTTTGTTTGCAATGAATGTTTTTGCCGAGAAGGAACAAGGGGAATAAAAATTTGTCAATAAATAATAAACAGAGCAGACAAGAGCAGCAAGAATTCTGAGGCCAATCGGTTTTAATGGAAAGAATAAATAGAGTTAGATTGAGAATAGTCTCGATTTAATCCTTAAGGCAACTTTTAAAATAAATATGTGAGAAAAAGAAAATTATCTTTTGGCAATTGAAATAATAATTCTTGCAAAGCATCAACTTTTCCCAAATTTTCTTTCGCAATCCATTTCCACGACGTCTTATCACCCAATTCAACCTTCCACTCCATTTTCACTCATTTTCCCTTTTCAAATCGCTTTCTTTTCTTTATTTGCCGATTTTTAGAAAGATGAGCTCGGAACTGAAGATTTTCCACTCATTGAACTGTTCTCTTTGCGAATCTCCTTGTGAGTTTTATCAATTACAAAAAGGAAAAGGGATTTCTAAGACTCAAAATTTTCTTGTTGAATTTTGCTGAAAATGATTAGTTGCAATTTCTGAAATCAGTCGTACTAATTATCACTTTATCTTGTATTCGAATCAAATCATGGCTTTCAGATTCGAAATCGAGTAATGTAACAAAAATGTACAGAATTGTATTTCAGACTCAAAAGCGGCAAATGAAGTAAATACACCAACACAAACTTATTGTTGTGTTATTCAAGCAGTGTGCATGAAATGTTATGAAGAACAAGGAGCAATAGCCCCAGCGATTCGAGGCACATCAATGCGAAGAATACAATTGTTTCAGGTACAAGGGGCATCCTTCATATTGCTTGATGGGTGAGTAAACTTTAAAGCAATCAAAGAAAATT